CAATATTTTATAGCCCGGTGGGAACAGTGCATCCAATTCCTCATCCGACAGCGGTCTGAAAAAAAAGCTTTCTTTTTAAGACTCCATTATCGCGCTAAAAATTCATTTTTCTGCAAAACCAAAGACTATTTTTTTATCGTACACTACGAGAAGCAGCCGGAAAGATCCAACAGTATGATCGATTTCTTCTCTAAATGTGAAAGATTACCTGTTTCTCTCGTCAATTTCTCTTTCCCATTTGAAAAGTGCCATTTGATCGGGTGTCATCGGTACCATTGGCATCACCGGGGTCTTGAGGCCCATCGCAGGTGTGCCAACAGGTGTCACACCACCCGGTGTCATCATCGAGGGAGTCATGCCTGCTCCGCTCGGTGTAAAGCCGGATGGTGTTGCGCCACCAGGCATATGCGTGCTTGACGGGGTTGCAGTGGCAGCAGCCACTGGTGTGGCAGCAGACGGCGTCAAGTCCCAGCGAGACCGGCGTTTTGATTCACTTGGAGTTTCCTCGATCTGTAAAAATGCCAAATGATGATTGGTAATAATCGTCAACGCTAATACTAAGTAATGACAAACTACAGTGATGTTCAACAACGATAATTATGAGGAAATAAAAAATAATAACGGAGATGGGTGATAACACAGACAACAAATAATAATATTATTGTCTGCAACCACAGTAGCAGTGATAAAAAGCGATAATGACAAGCAAATATAATTGAATAAAAGTAAAGTAAAAAAATACGCATGCAGAAATGGTAATATAAATACAGAGAGCAAGTAATCAAAAACCATTCATGTAAACGTGTGCGTATGCACAAATTTATCCGATGAAGTCAACGTACGCTGCTAGCTAGGAAACAACATGGAAACTTCGTGCCTGGAGAGGAGAAACGAAAATTCCCTCAATCGGAGCCAACTTCAGTTAGCATCCAAATGAATTTAAAGCATTAAATCCAGGAGGAATGACTGTTACCTTGACATCGTCGAAAGCACGTGCATCACGCGGCGTTTCAGCTCCCCAGCCAGGCGTCATCCCTTCGCGTGCCGACGGCGTCATCCCATCACGCACTGATTCTAAAAACAAAGCATCCAGCTTCTCAAACAACACTTCAAAATAACTGTCCATTTCTTAAATAACTACGTATACAAATGTGGAAAGTGGGAACCTCGCGGCGTTTCGTCCCAACGATTACGACGAGGGGTCTGCGTTGAGGGTGTTGCATCCCACGTTTTTGCGCCGGACGTGGGAGTTGCGTCAACGCCGGATGCATGAGCCGGCGTTTCATCCCAGCGTGCCACTCGAGGTGTCGCTATCTGCAACAAAAGTGGTTATTTTACTCTGGAAAAAGCCTTTCAGGGGAAACTTTTCAAGCACTTACATCAGCAGCGGCAGCAGCAGCCGACAGATTGCTTGCCAAAGTCAGTCGTTTTCGCTGTGTTGAGCCAGGGGTCTGTGAAGAAGGTGTGAGCGCTCCTGCACCTAATGCCTCAATTTTTGGCGTTTCATCCCAACGTCCCTTCTTTTGTGCTGGTGCAGCAGCTTTGGTCACTTTCAATTCACCTGATTTTGTCTTGTCCGCTAACTCTTTCTCCATTTTATCCTGAAAAAGAACAGACTGAAACCATAACTGATAGCATCAAAGATGGCACGTAAAAACAAAATAATTTTGAAAATAAGATTTACCATATACAGAAAAATAGGGAGGATCAGAAAAGACGAAGAAGCCACATATATCCAAATAAGCTAAAGGTATGCAACCCAGAGTCGAAAGGCCTAACATAGCTCTGGTGTGTGAAAGCATCCCAGTAAGAGCACTAACACTGATTTTTAGTGTTCTTCGTATGAAAACACAACAGTTATATGAAAATTCTATGAAGCTAAGTATAAAAAAAAGACAACTTATGTTTACATTCGCAAAAATTTCAAACAACTCAATGTTTTCGAAGTGAATATGCTAAACAAACCGTTTCTTCGCGCAACATTTGTTCCTTCATGATCTGAGCATAAGATCGATCTCGCACATCCGGAGTCTGATCAGCTGAAACAGTCCAAATATACACTCCAAAAAAACGCCTTCAAAAATATGCAGTGCCTAATTTCATCATTCACTGCGTTAAACTATATTTCAGCCTGTATTTCAAACAGCACTATGCGTTGTACATTGAAATCCGTTGCAAAGTTCGTATCTTCGAGCGCTTTACTACTTGGGTGGAGTAATAAAATTTAAAAAAGACAAAACTGGGGATGAATGTCACCGAAACGAGAACTAACTGACAACAGCATACCGCCGCCGGCATTCAACAGCAGTAGAGCTGGGCCGTTACAATGTAAATATTTTGATCGCGTTTAACTTCTATGGCCCTTTCTTTTCTTCCTATTTTACTGTGGACGCTATGCTGAATTGGCCGAGTCAACTTACCGAACATGTCGGCCCTTTCAGGAGAGATCTGTCTCTGACGCGCTCTTGCCTGATAGTTGCTTTGTCGCTCGGCGATTGTCTTCGTTCTCGTCTCCGCAAATGGATCATCATCCTGCAAAAA